GAAGAGCTTTTAAATTGTATATTGAAAGTTTATTGGCATCTTGATCATGCAGGCTTTGGATTTTGTCTGCTTCGTTTTCGTACCAAAATGAGTTTAAATGACATCCACTCACCTTTTAGTTTGGGATTCTTCGATGTTTCATACGTAGAATACTTTTTCAGCTTATTTTAAGTTTAGTTTGATGTTGTTTTTGGAGTCTTGTAAGTCCATTCGAAGCATTCTTTTTCAAATTTGCAAATTCTCCACTCCTTGCATCTTTTTTTCCGTTTTTCTGGCCGTCCAAGTAATTTTTTTATGCCATTAGTCGTTTAAAATATCAACTCCAGTACATTCTCCAAAAATTGAAAGCAATAAACAAATCGGGCAAATATATTTTTTAAAATCGCTGTTTCTATGCAAAAAATCAGTGTTTTCCTATATTAATCCACGCAAAAACACTTACCAGAGGTTAGCGCATGCGCAATTAAAACAAGGGGACAGAAATCACTGCGAGTTGGCCATCTTATACTCATTAATCTATGACATAACCAATTTATATTTTGTGCATGAAAACTGGTTATTTGATATAACCAATTTATATTTTGTACTAAAAAACTGGTTATTTGTAAATATGCACCATTGAAAATCGGAAATATGACTGACATTCTCATCTCTGTGAAACAAGTGGAATTCCATTTAAAGCTTTAGTTTTTACACAGTTTATAGATATGACATAGCTAAATATTTGGACCAATCATTGTTGAAATTGCATATAAGAATTCGTCAGAATCAGCTGTTTACTTATAACATGTAAAATGTTTTGCGACAAAACACTAAAGTATGACAACTTTAAGACCGAATTTTAAAAGTGTGGCACCTGTTTGAAACATCTGAATTATACAAATAGAGAAAATAAATAATGTCTAATTTAAAACAATAATAACATTTTTTGCCATGCAAAATGGGAAAATAACAGTCGCCTACAAATCACAAAATTCCCAAAATGCAGTGCGCCAACCAACAGATGATAGCCGTTACATTAAAAATTAAAATATCATAAATTGACTAATCTAGGCAGAGACAGCACTAATGGGTATTGGGACTTATCAGATGAAGTTTTTAATAGAATTTAGGTTTTTAAATATGAGCTAGTGTATTTGTATATATAGACTTATAGATATGTTTTTATAGAGGTTTTTGTAAGTAATTTTTATACTGAACTGTTTTTGAACTTTGTAACAACATAGAGATGCTCAAAGAGGCATAATTATTAAAGTTAAAGTTAAGTTTATATGATATATATTCATTAAATTCAATATGAAATATATTCATTAAATTCAATGTGAAATATATTCATTCAATTCAACATGAAATATATTTATTCAATTCCATATGAAATATATTCATTCAATCCAGTCGGAAATTCATTCATTCAAATTCGGGCGAAATATATTCATTCAAATTCGGGCGAGCATCTTATCTTCGTAATTTATCGGTACATAGTCAGACTCAACCGGATTTAGCCTCCCGCCATGTGCTGTTGTTATTGACTTTTTACTCCTTGTTTTTGCAAGTACAAACAAAAAGCCATCATAGAAGAATGACGCCGGCAGTGGAACTTCTACAATAAGCTTCAAATATGTTGTTAACAGTTGATTCTGAAAACACCTCGCTACATTCTAATTCTGGAAGGCCAGAACAAATTCAAAGCAATTCCCCTCTAGTAGTCGCTGAACCTTCTCTGACTTCTGGCTCTGCAGCCTCTGTTGGCTCTGCAGCCTCTGTTGCCTCTAGATCTGTTGTCCATGAAAATGCTACAGGCCAAACTCGTTGAACTACCCAAGATGCTCTCACAAGAGCAAGAAATATTATGTCAAATAGCAGGAGCTGTGGAACCAGTAGAAGGCTTAGTAGCAATGAGAGATTAAGTTTGACAATGCTGCCAGCAGAACCAAAGGCGAAAAAGAGCAAAGTTGCACAAAGCAAAAACAAACCTTTTGAGTTTGCTTTCTCAGCAATTCTGATGAAAGTGATGAGGAAGAAGTCACCTTGAAAAAAGGAATGATTCTTGACAGAGATATTGTAACACTAAATGAAAATGATAAAAAGGATGATATTAGAGAAAAGATGAGGTCAGCACCTCAGGGCAGGTATCATATGATTGGTGATAGATAGATAGTTTAGATAGATAGTTTATTCCAAAAAATTACATCGCAGCCCTGGAGCTGAATTGCGTAATTAATTTACATTTAAAAAAAGGTATACAATATAAGACTATTTAAGTAAGTATAAATAAAGCATATATGTACAATTGAACTAAATATTGTGAAATATTCGAAACTCTAAGATATGTTATTAATAGGAGCTGCACATTGATGGAATAAAAGTGTTCTGGTAACGCTTTGTCTTGATTTGGGGAATATTGAATGTTTTGTTTTTCCTAAGATTGTACTTTGGTTGGTGTCTTTGTGGAAGTAAACCGTTTAATTTGTGCGATGGATCCCACATGATCTTTTTAAAAAGTTTTTCACACAAGTCATGTCTCCGACTTTGAAGTGTTGGTACATTAAATTTCTTTAAATTTTGCTGGTACAACTCTCCTGGAGATAATATCGACAGCACGCGTTTTTGAACTCGTTCTAAGTCCTCACTTAGGTAGTTCGACAGAGAATGGTGGGATACAGGTGCACAATATTCAAGCACAGGTCTGATGCAGGTGCAATAGAACATAATGATATCTTCTATTGGTACGCATGCGCGTTTTAGCAAAACTATAAAATATAAACGTTTGTTAGACTTCCTTATGACATCGTTGATATGATCGTTCCACAGTAAAGTGTTAGAAATAGTCACTCCAAGAATCTTGGCATGGCTAACAACCTCAAGTTCCTTTCCTTCTACTGTAATCGGATCAAAAGAATGTTTTTGCTTCTTAAAATCAATGATCATCTCCTTGCACTTTTCTGTGTTTAACTGTAACTTGTTTTTATGTGACCAGTCCTGCACAATGACGGCGTCGCTTTGGATAGTGCTGCGATTTCCTCTTTTAATGAATTCGGAAACAGTCGTATCGTCAACATACTTCCACTTGTTTGCATTGGGGCATCTCAAATCATTGATCATCAACAGGAATAACCATGGGCCAAGTTTAGGTCAAGGTTTAGGTGTACTTTTGTAAAAGTACATCAAAGATTAATAACAACACTTTGAGTAAGTAAATATATCAAATATAATTTTGATGAAGAAACTTACAGGACAAGGACTTCTGTATATAACGATACGAAAGTATTGTGAATATGTACTTGAAAATAATTCTGACTCAGATCTACCAGAAGTATTGCCTAGTGTAGAAACCACTGCAAAACCTGAGCCTGAGGTAATCTGATACTTGAGATGAAGCCCCATCTGCAGAGCACTAAAAATCTCCAACTTTAGTATCGCATGTGGAAGTTGTAGAACAAACATTTAAAGGACCACCTGACTTTTTTGATAAAGTTGTGAATGAGTTGCCATTGAGTATCAGTGAACCAGCAGAAATGCTTCTATATCTCCAGAAGAAGATAGTTAAAGGCAGGCCACTGGATATAAACGACTCTTCAGTAAATCTTGATGGTGAGACAAACTTCATTACTGTAGACAGAGATGACATTCTTCAGACACCATTTGATTAACTTAAAAATGTTACTGATCCAAGTGTAAAATTTGAAGTGCAGTTTTATGGTGAACAAGCTACCGATAATGGTGACCCAGGTAAGGAGTGGTTACGATTAGTGTTGTTAAAGAACATTTGTCAAAAGACTATTTTATGTTGGCTAATATAGCACTTCTACAAAATGGCCAGCTGCCTGTGTATATGCCTGAAGAAATTTTACAGCAAGTATTCTTCAGTGACGATGTGCAATTGCCTCCTTGTATTCTTGAGCTAAAAAGAGGAATGGATACTTTTGGTATCCAATGAATTGGTAAGAAGTTTCCTTTGCTCTTGTACCTCTTTAGACCATCTGCATTTGCCAGAATAACAGTTCCCAAACTACTATTTCTCTTGAAGCCATCATTTTCGAGGATGGGGCTAATAGTTTTGCTCATGAAAAGGCTTTGTATGTAAAGTTTGTAAAGTATGTGAGAGAAGTGTCTAGTGGAAGAAGAGTTGTAAACCTTGAAAACATATTGGAATTTGTCACTGGGGCTAGCGAAGGGCCTGTGTTGGGATTTGCAAAGGAGCCATCAATTGACTTTGTTGCTGTGAATAACAGTGAGTTGGATGCAAAACATATGCAGGTAATAAAATGGTTACACGCTCTTGCGTTATTGGATAACTGTGTTGAGTTATTGAATAACTGCCTTAACCCATTGTCATTTTACTCTGTTTAAAGCCAGACGATTTTACTCATCATGGGAAAGCTCTAGCTGGCAATGGGTTTAAATTGATTATTATGTTTGATGTTTCAAATTTTTAGGTAATCTAAGTGGTGAAGCCATAAGAGAAGGTCAGGACAAGAAAACAATGCCAACAGCTCACACATGTTCGAACACATTAATTTTGCCAAGAGGAACCATGGTCACCCCTCTTCCATCAGTTGGAAATATATTTGATTTGTATGATATGGCATTTTCAAACACATATTTTTGTATAATTTATAGTCTTTTGCAACTCAGAACATCTTTGTATCTATCTGTTTATTGTTACCTATTTCATAGTGGTGGGCGATATATCGAAAAAATATTGATAACTTCGATATTTTCAAGTATTGTATTGGTATGGATAAGTATTTTCAAGTATCGACAATTTCAATACTTGTCACGTGTTACGAAATTTTGAGTTTTAGATAAGTCCCCCTGTTAATCACAGTCCGGTTGTACAAGAGTTCAGTGACTAAAACTTTTAGTCACTGAACTCTTGCATAACCGGATTGCGACTAAAAGGGACTCATGAGGAACAATTGGTAGGCGAGGGTTAATGGGGAATTTTGGGGGTATCATTGGTGCCTACAAGGATACAAGGGAATGCTAAGTTGAAAAACATGGCGAGCGACGTGCACACTGATGGCACTGTAATCACTTGTGAAAGCAGTCATAATCCTGCTAAACGTCGTATTCGTAGTCCTGTTTGGGATTATTTTGAGAAACTAGACAAGGATGGAGATTTAAAGTGTTCATTATGCAAAAAGATTGTGAAGCATCTCAGTAACACTTCAAACCTGGCAAAGGTATTAAATTTTAATACTAATTTGCAATGCAAATTTTGCATTCTACTTTCATATGGTAATTGTATGCGAATATATTTTAAGATGAAATTTTAATACTTTAAAAGTGTACAACTTTAAGAGATCAGCTGTAAAGTTTTAACTTTCAAACATTGTTCACATTGTTATTCTAGCACCTTATGGTTAACCATCCAGCTGAATATAAAATCCTTGAAAATCGAAGAATTCAGCAAGAGGAAGAAAATAAGAAAAAGCGTAAAGTGTCTGTCCAACCCACACTTCAAGAAGCATTTGGCAGAGGTCAGAAATATGCTTCATCTAATGTGCATCAGAAAAAGCTTGATGAAGCTCTTGTAGAGATGATAGCAACTGATATGCAACCCAGTACTGTTGTGGAAGACAAGGGATTTAATAAGTTTGTTCATTTATTGGATCCAAAATATCAGTTGCCCAGCCGAAGAAATCTGATAAAAAAAATCCCTCTTAAATATGATGATGTTGTGAGGAAAGTGAAGGATGAGCTACACAATGCATCAGCTGTTTGCTTAACTACTGATATATGGACATCTAGAAGCAGCCAGGGTTACATGACTGTGACCTGCCATTTTATTGATCAGTCTTGGCAAATGAAAGCCTTTGTACTGGAAACTTTTCATCTTAATGTCAGTCACACTGCACAAAATATTGCTGCTGAGTTGATCAGAATTGCCAGTGAATGGGATGTGTCAGAAAAAGTCATTGCATTAGTGACTGATAGTGCAGCAAATGCGGTGGTTGCTGCCAGGCTTACAGGTTGGAAGCACATCCCGTGTTTTGCACACACCCTTAATTTGATTGCCAAGGGTGCTCCTGAATCTGATCCGCAAGTGTCTGCTCTGAAGACAAAATGTAAAAATATTGTCACATTTTTCCACCACAGTTGTAAAGCCTCCAACAAGTTGAATGAGATTCAGAAACAACTGGGAGTGCCAGAAAAGAAGCTGATCCAAGATGTGGATACACGGTGGAATTCTACATTTTATATGTTAGAAAGAATCATTGAGCAGCATGACGCAGTTACCACTACCCTCTGTCTTAGCAGCAAGAGTGAGATGTGTCTTTCAGGAGATGATCTAGAGCTACTTAAGAAGGCAGTTGAAATTTTGAGACCTTTTGAAGCCGCAACAACAGAGATGAGCGCTGATAAGTTTGTGTCTGTTTCAAAAATAATCCCAATGTCAAGATCCCTGCAACTACTAACATTAAAGAGTCCTTTGGAAATTCCTTTGAAGCAAGGATTGATTGCTCAAATGCAGCGTCGCTTTGTTAACATAGAAGGCAATGAAACTTTGGCACACTACTTGATCCGCGTCTAAAAAAGATTGCGTTTCGAAATCGTGGAGAAACACAAGGAGTCCAGTCATTAGTTCAGGAATTAGCAAATTTAGCATCATCAGAAGAACATCAAGAAGATATGTCAGGTGAAGCTGCTACACCAAAGCCAACCACTAGCACTAATGTATTATGGCAGGAATTCGATTTGCGAGTATCAAATTCATCAAATGAGAGAAATGTCAGAGCTGATGCTACATTAGAAAGTACACAATATTTTGATGAAACATTAGTCAAAAGAGAAAATAGCCCACTGAACTGGTGGCTTGAAAATAACAAGTATTACCCAAATTTGAACAAGTTGGCGAAAAAATACTTGTGCATAACAGCTACATCTGTCCCCTCCGAAAGACTCTTTTTAAAAGCTGGAGAGTTGGTTTCACATAAGCGAAGTTGTTTGAAACCTAAGAATGTAAATATGTTTCTCTTTTTAAACCAAAAAACATTTAATTCTTTCCACTTGACATTTTTGAACAGAAGTTTACCATTTATGTATATACTTGAGTTGAAAAATATCATTTGAGTTGAATTTACTATATTGAAATTTCGCTATACATTTATATACAATTTTGAGTATCGGTATCGAATATCGTATCGAAACAGTGGTATCGAGGTAAAAGTAACCGGTATCAACATCAAAATTCCCAGTATCGCCCACCACTACTATTTCAACATTGGTTTAATCAGTTTGCATGTGATAACTTAAGATAGTACTGATACCTCATATATCCATTATCAGAAAATTTAGGTCATTCATATGCTTGGGCAATTTCAAAATGCCTAATTTGATTAGCATCTTTTTAATTGTAAAATTGATAAACCATTCATATTAGGTGGTGATGTTGTAGCATTTAGTTTTTGTAACTTATCTTGGAGAGTTGGAGTGTTGGCCAGATACAGTAACATGTTGTTGTGTTTAAAAATATGTTACCAGTTTAGGTACAACCAGTTTTTGGGGGTTTTTTGGTAAAATGAATGTGTGCTAAGGTAAGATAATGGTCCATATTCGTAAGGTAACAGGGACATCTCCTCCTAAAATCTAGTTAACAATGAAATAAAAAAGGTTACAGGACTGGCAAAATACTTGTGATTTTAGCAATCTAAAATAAGAACTATACCTTTGATATTCCTTGGTCATCTTGACCTTTCTCTAGATGAACTCTCACCCACTTGTTCAACGTGTTTACTCCACTGGTGCTTCGTTAAGCCACCTTTTGATTTGCACACTTTCTCGCAGAAATTGCAAGGAAACTGCTTCTTTCCTTCAACATGGAGGGAAAGGTGTAACAACAATTAAGGTTTTAGAGATACTAACGGTATGAAGCGTAACTACCGTATGACTATACCATTTCTATTACCTCTTCAAGCGAGTGTTCAACTTTGGATTGAACCTCCTGAATATCCATCTGGAGAAGTGCCACAGTTTGCTCGAAATCAGAGCAAAGGCTAACAAGAAACTCAGATTCGTACTCATCATCTATATCCATGTTTCCAATACTTAGTTTTATTCAAAGAGTATCGCTGTCTGAAGGTTCACTAAATATATTTGTGACTTGAAATACGATAGCTGGCACCCCGTCGATACTATATATAGCGGAAGCAGCTGGACCAATAGCACATAAAAAGGTCTCAAACGTTGCCTTTCGCATAAGTAAAGTACAACAAAAATGCAATATTTATGAAATTGTTGTAAAACTATCGAAAAAATCAAAATTTTCTGATCAGCAACATAAAATTATACTACAAAATTAAAATGTATGCTCCTTGACTGTCACGTGATGTCTTTCTTCGAGTTCAAGTATCAAATAGTCACTTTGAAGTTTGCCGGTTTTCCAAACCCTCCCACTACAAAACTATGGACCACCTAAAACCATAAACCTCTGAGTTACATAAAAGAGGTTCATGGTATTCAGTATTGAAATGTGCAATTAAAATCAGAATGTTATGATGACTTCTTCTCAAGAATTGACAGCATTAAATTGTTTTGCTGTTGTTGTTGAGCCATTTGCTGAGCCATTGTCTCTTTAAATTCGTTGTGCTACTCCTGCTCCCTGTTCTGTTTCTCCCTTTCCGATTCCAGTTCCCTCTCACTTATTTTCATTTCATTTTCTGACTGTCCCCTTATGAGCTGTAATGTATCAGAACCAGATATTCTACGCCTTCTCTTCAATTTCTCCCTCATCAATTTTTCTCTTTTTGGTCTCTCCAAACTTTTTCATGACCTAAACTTTTTTTGCTTTTTTTTGAATGTCTACAGCATTTTTCTGATCTTCCTCAACTTTTTTATTTCTGTACTTCATCTAAAAATAAAATGACAGTTGTTTATGACTTCTCTCAAGCCTACTGTCAACTTTAGTGAGGGTACTACCCTCAAACAGTGGTTAAAAATTAACCTAGGGTTAATGTTAATCAAGCTATGAAGCTGCAAATTTCCCATTATAATTATAAATGGATACGATGCCTAATTTGACATGCGTGGTATTAAAATACACATGCATACTAATGTAACCATTGTACTTAATGAACTATGAATATTTTCCTACTTTGTGATCCTCTCAACTCTTCGCTTGCCTCCACTTTTTCCAAAGTTTAGTCTATCAAACTATCCAACTCTGTTAATTTTGGTGATATCCCTGTAGCCTTCATCTTGTACCTAATTCTCTTTTTGTGTTTTTCACACAATAGACTGCAACAATCTTGAACGGAACGCTTTGAGAGTGTTTTCTTAAAAGAAGGGTCTTCCAACTGCACAAGGTTGCCAGCGACAGTTTGCGAAAATTGTCCTCACTGGACAGTTTTCTTTTTGGCTTAAAAGGGATTAACTTCTAAAACCTCTTTGAAGAGCATGATATCATGTTTTACCTAGTATTGTGTATTTTGAAGTAATACACAATCAATTTTTTACTTGTACAGCACTTTCTACATTTTTTAAAAATATCGAACTAGTGCTGACATATAGATGTTATTAATGTGGACAATTGGTCATGTGATGACGAATTCAATGAAATCTGTCATTGAAATCACCATTTGAATATGTCACTGAAGTGGCAACTCCTGTTGCTGCTTTTGAAACTCTTTCAAAAAGAAAACCTTGATGAGGACCATGGTCCAAAATTATTCATTTAGATTGACACAGATGTTTAAAAGACTAGGATGAATGGTTGGCCACTCTACTTCATAGTGGGCCTGGTTTGTATGGTTTATATGATGTACTATGCTTTTAAGACAAAGACAGCAATGATAACAGCACAAAAACAGGTGAGTTTTTTGTGTGTTACATTGAGGAAGTTGAGCACAGAACTGAAGGTGAAAATTTGAAATGAAAACCCTATGTCATCCTGCCATATATTACAGGCATGGTTTGGCTTGATTTTATTTTCCCCTCTTTATTTCCCTTCAAGGTTCTGCACAGCTCATTGCCCTCATCCATTTTTGGACAGGGGGGCTGTGAGATTCAATAAGAAAATCAAGTTGCTTATGGCAGAAATATGTTTTTTCATAGGCATGCCAGAAATATGATTTGTATTTTTTATAGTCCACGTATGAGGCTGCTGCAGGCAAGCTATTGAGAAAAACAGCTAAGCCGGGGGAAGCCTCTGCTTTTTCATGCCAGAATAAAGGTTTTCAGCATTGTCTTTTCTCCCATCTGCGATACAAAGCAAAAATTCCTGAGTCTATATAGCTTGCGACTGCTTAGATAATTTAAATATATTGGTAAATAAAAAAATATGATACTTTTGAGAAGGTGAAAAAAGTATTACGTGAAAGTTGAAACTTTTACAGTAAGTATGCTGTTAATTTTTTTTATTTTTTGCTGTGAAAGAAATGTTTTGACAATAGACACACATAATAGACATGGCCATTTTAACAAAAGCTTTAAATTTTATATTCAGCATAGTTTTTTGGTTTTCCTCTGAACTAATCCAAGTACAACACCTACCAAGTTCTTCAAAGAATGTCAGAAGTTGTACTATTTGGTAAGTATATGTAGTATATCGTTTCATATTTCCTTTCATGCTGTTGAAATGTCGTCCTTGTATATTTAAACACATGTATTTATTATTACGATGCTTTGTTGCTGTTGCATGTGCTGATGCTGGGGCCATCAGCTATGTTCATGCTCCGTGTCAGAGCCCTGACTTGCTAAAAGTATTGTGTCTCATGTATAAACTTTATTTTTTTATTGGTATCTTAACCATTACGGATAGTAAGTCACACTCGTTTGTAAGACTAGTATATAGAGTATAGAATTGGCTGTTTGCCGTATTACCACTATCAAAGTTACCATATTACTTTCTTCCAAGGTTTATACCTGCTTTGTTGGTAATTTCGGCTCTTATGGGGTGGAAACCGACCTTAAAGTTGTCTTGTAGCATTTCTTACCTCACCACCTTTTTTGTGCTATTTGTCGAAAATGACTGACAATATGTTATATAAAGTATATACTGTTTTAGCGCGCTTTTCCGTTGGACGCCATTTTTTGTTAATATTGATGTTTTTCCCATATGCATGTTAGCATGTATTTATACGAATATAAATCAACTATAAACATCTGATATTGGTGCTGTGACCAGGATGGAAGAACAACAACGTTTAGTGGCATCTTGAAGAGCCCAAAAGCCACATTTAACAAAACTTTTCAAGAGAATAACGGAGCTAAAACAATCTGAAAGCGTCAGTGATCAAAACGAACAGAATGCCCTATTAGCGGGCTATTAGAACAACTTGATCAGCAAAGTACTTGCAGATCTAGACGAGAAGATATTTGCATTAATCACTGAACCTGGAGATATAGAAACGGAGATTATAGAGGCAGAGAACCCGCAGAGCTTAATCACAAAAAACGATTTATTTAACCAAAAATTTCATCAAAAAGCTCAACTAACTGGAGAAGCATAGAGAGCAATAGCTGGGTTTCCCTTGACTATCTAGAAAGTATTAAACTCTTACAAGAAAGATTTAGTCAACAACACAGAGCAGTGAGTACTCGCACACATGCAAGCACTATTAAACACTCAAAGCCCAACGAGTACACTACAAAGCTTAAAGGATTTCTATGACACACTGGAAACACACATCATTCATTCATTCATAATTTATTTGATAAGGCAGGTTAGTATCCGTCAACTAAAAGCTGATGTGGACCTGCCAAACTAAAGATTACAATATATGTTAAATATAACTAAGGATTAATTAATTAATAATACATAAAATCATCTTTTTTATTACTATTTAAAGCAGCTTCTTTCAGGAAGTTTATATTACTAAATTCTATTTTCTTGAGTTTCGATTTAAAATTATCCTTACTAATTATTATTTTAATGTCTTCGAGAAGTTGGTTCCATATTATCGGACCTCTACACCTCAACGAGGTTCTGCCTTTCTCAGTTCTACATCTAACAATATCGAAATTTAAAAATCGAAATTTATCCGTGCACTGGAAGCATTAGGAAAGTCGCATGAAGCATATGGGGACATCTTGGTCCCCATAATCCGTAAGAAGTTACAATCAGATTTGATTAAGACACTTACTAGAGAACACAACAGTGATGAATGGAGACTTGATGAGCTCAAAAAAGCATTACGCAGATAAATCAATATATTAGAAGCAGGAGAGAACAATCCCTTTAAGAAACACCATGGTTATTTCCCCGATTCACCCACAGCAGCCTTCACAATTGAACAATCACAGAACCCATCATACAAATCACACCATCGACCACTAACCCCAGTGAAACAAGAATGTGTTTATTGCAAAGGCTCGCACAACCCAATTAACTGCACCATTGTAACTGATAAGAAACAACAACTCAACATAGTACAATATTCTAAACTATGTTTCAACTGCCTTAATGATAATCATGTAGTATCACAATGTAAGTAAAAAGGGTTGATACAAGGACTGTCATTGCAAACACCATACCAGCTTATGCTCAACTGAAATCCCATCGATCATTTATCACCAGTACTTTAGCCAACGATGTAGGTCTAACGATCGAGCGTGAAGAAACCCTTGCCCTCTCCACATTTGGTAGGTCAACCACATCAATCAGAAAAGTAGAAGTAGGTACCATCAACGTAAAGACACCCACAGGAGAAAAGATTCTAATTGAAGTTATGACAGTTCCTCAAATTTCTGCCCCACTCTCTTGATCCGAGCAGATAATTATTGGAATATTGTTAAAATGGAAAAAAATAAAGGCCCTGGTCCAACTGCTGCCAAGTCAAAACTTGGTTATCTTCTATCTGGACCTGTTTCATTGATCAACCAGACATCCACACTAAATGCCACCATCTTAAATGTAATGACAGCAAGCAAATATGTCGAATTTGAACTCCAGCGTTTCTTGGAACTTGACTCAATTGGAATTTGGTCAGATCAGAAAGATGATACTTCAGAATTCCTACTACATTATCAAGACACATCCATTTCTCTGAAAGATGGAAAGTATGATGCCAAGTTACCTTGGAAACCAGAACAACCAATACTACCATCCAACGTCAGAATTGCACAACAAAGAAAGACATCAATGGTGAAGCGACTAGCTGCTGATCCCGAGAAACCTATGATGTACAACAACGTGATTGTTAATCAGTGCAATCAAGGCTTTATCGAGAAAGTTGAAAACCCCAGTATGAACAATGGAACCTGTCACTATCTTCCCCATCACGCCGTATTTAAAGAATCATCCACCACACCTCTACAAGTTGTGTACAACTTCAGCTGCAGTACGTCAAATCAACCAAGTTTAATATTGCTTAGATTTCATCGAAAGAAATACGCAGATATCGAAAAGGCATTCCTAAATATTGTCCTGAATGAAGAAGATCGCGACGCTACTGTTTCTTCTGGTTGAGCGATCCGAAAGATCCAAATAGTGCCTTTGAAGTTTATTGATTCTAACGCGTATTATTCGGGGCAACAAGTTCTCCATTTATTCTAAATGCAACACTAGATAAACATTTGAAACAATTCAATCACCCAGTCATTACCAGAAATTTGCGACATTCCGCGCCTGCGAATTTTTAGTATGCGGATACATGAAATCGCTAACGAGCATGCTCGCAACAACCAAAATTTTCAAGATGGCGGAACAACAGAGGCCACGGGCAAATATTGATTGTAAAATATTGAACAACTTATGTTCTGATTTATTCCATCGATCTGTTCACAAGCAGAGGAAAATTTATAAAGTGGAGAGAATTATATCTAAACGGCAAGGGAAAGAGGTATAATCTGTTTAAATTATTATAAATGTTTCTATATTTATATAAACACATATGCCATATGATATACAGTATACAAACACAATTTTTTTGGTACAAATCGTCTGCGTGTTTGTATATCACGTCGGATTTCAAACATTTACCTTGCTAGGGAGATGAATACTTAGTAAAATGGGAGAACTGGCCTTCGTGGACGTGTAGTTGGGAACTTGCAGGACATTTGAATGATTGTGCAATTAGGTAAGTGCAAACTGTGATGGAATAGCGGACAAATTGAGTGTATGCTCATATCGTATGAATTTTGCATTTATGCTGCGATTTTGTGCTCAATTTATAGAATATTTGACTCTCAGACTTATATTAACTAGAAGGGCAAGTATTTAGTCACTCTTGGTCTCCACAACTAAATTAATCTGAACATTCAGAAGGTTGTATGTATATATTTTGATTCTTTGACGCTCTCAAAAACTTAATTTTAGTTTTTGAGTATACAAATTGCCTTGGGTCAATGAAAAAATATACATGTACATCCAATATACATGTTTCTAGTTGTTTCTTTGGGATGTTCCTGTGGTGTCGCCACCTCGATAAGTGAGGGGGGCATATTTATTATCTGTGTTTTGCATTATTAAGTTCTTTTAAAATCGATTGTTTTTATGGTCTGTGAACACAAATATATGAATATGTCCCTTAACTTATCCAAGCTGGCAATGCCGCTGGGATGTTCAGAGAAAGTACCGGTACTTGGGCCTTGGCTTGAATTTTGTTCTAAAAATGCCAATTTTTATTTAAGGAGTTACACCGAACCAAATATAACCAAATCTCGGTTAGATGCAGCAGCTGCAACTTTTGTCGAAGCTGTTCTTGGTATTTTGAAGTCCAAGTCATGCCGTGCCAACTTCATTACAAAAGTTCCAATAGACAACGATATCATTAGATATGTGTTCAGGAATAAGGGGATCAGTGCTAGTGCTGGCTATATGCTGTATGAAAAAGAGGATTTTTCAAGATTCTGCTTGCCTCCATTTTGGGACTATTATCTAGATGAATTGGGCCAGGGTGTCGCAGTGGATTTTCCAGTTAAATTGAAGCCTATACTAAAATTTCACCCAAAGCGTATATTGTTGGTAACAAAGGGGCCCTTGAAAAGGGGCCTCTAATACCCTTAGAAAAGATATCAATGTCTGTCAACAGGAAAGCAGCCTCTATAGCAGAAACATAAACCTGAAGTGTTTTTGAAATCTATTGAACAAAATGTTGTGTTAACCTGTAAATGTACATAAATGTTGTAAAATAAATTTGGGAAAATGTTCTTCTAAAATTTCTGGTTACAATATTACTGTAACAAACTAAACCAAGGAATCTTCTTTCGTTAGGCCAAACTATTACTATCAATAATACGGATTACATTAGGAGTTTTCAATTTCAGCTTGGCCTGAATTCCAATACAGTTAACTGAACTGAACATTTGTAAATTGCATGGCAAGTTGTTGCCTGCGCTGAAATATTCATGTAATCGACCATAAATAATAATTATTAAGAGAGTGCTCAATACACCCCAAGGTATACCTAATACCTTAGTTTATTAACCCATTAAGCCCAAGTGCACCCTAATATTTTTCTTGACGAACACCAGATGATTTTATTTGTCAATTGGGAAGCTCTGGAGCTTAATGGGTTAAGTCAAGCATATATCACTTACTGTGTCTGAGATTCCTTTAAAACATCTATAAGTTGATTTTTGTTCAATTTGGATAGTCCCTTTACTTGCAAATGTTTTGATTTAATTTCTTGCCTTAATTGTTTAACTGTCATTTTCTTGTAATCAATGGTTTGCTCTTCATTCAAACCAGTGTGTGGTGCATTCAAAACAGTACTTGAATTTTCATTGTTCAATTCAATAGCTTTGCTTGTGGATCGCACTCGCTTTTTCCGAGATTCAACAATTCCTTTTTCCCAATAATCATGGTTCTGTTTTTCATATTTTCGTTTCTTTCTTTCACATTTCTGAAGTAGCTCCTGTCTTGCTTCCAATAGTAAAACATCTCTAGCACCATCCCACTTGTTGAATTTCTGGAAGAATACCTTTTTTGCATCATCGTTGTTCCTTTCAACACCTTGCCCTGTAAATTGCTTGAACGATATGTGATCTCTAATAAATATTGGTACGTGGTAAGCAAGTGAATGCATGTAGGGTGTAACACGCGCTTTATTATACCCAAGTCTAGAACCACCAAGAGAACAAAATAACTCGATAAATTGCTTTGATTGCTGAAAGACATCGAGAAAAAGGTTGTCATGCCTCTCAGATGTATTTATAAGTTTGTAGAGAGAGCCAAAATCTCTCCACAGTTTCACTATGGTAGATCTGGTTTCTGGAAATAAAATATCCCTTGTCTCAAGCTGAAGAGGTAGGAGTTAGATAAGTTTTTTCTTTTCAGAACCAACCAGACTAGTCCAGTCGTAACTACCACTACCTTTTCCATCCGCATTCCTTTTTTCCCATATTGCAAAAGTAATACCAAGCTCATTAATAACAGAAACAAGTCGTTTGAGGTAAATTCCCTTTTCTTCTCCACTTTTTTTTGTGAAATCAGCTTTGCTATCTCTCTGCATGACTTCATTTATTATATTTTCTGTTAGCCTGTCTACAATAACAAATGTAGTTCATCCAATATAACATGATCAAGTTCAATGTCAAGCAAGGGGGGATTGATACAGCAACATTTCTTGGAGGTCTGGAAATCTTTTATTTCCAACAGAGTTCTCTTTACAGACCCTGTATTGTAAAAATCAAGATCTTTAGACATGTCCCACCTGTGAAGTTTATATACCTTACACCAAAGACATGCATAATCTGATGATGCACCACTTAGCCCATTCATCATGAGCAAGAATTTGTAATCCCCCCCTAGAAACATTTCAATCTTAACTTCTTTTTCATCTACCTTTACTTTGCCATTTTGTATAACTGTATTAATATCATTGAGGACATCTCTCATTGATACTTTCAAAGTGTCATACTTTTCAGGGCCATTAACTACGCATATTGTTCTGTTGCCTTTAGACGACATCAACCGATCACCAGTTTGCAATAATGCAAATGACAAAAGCATAAAATTAGTGGTTCGGGACATTTTCGCTCCGTCACCACTTATTTTAACCTTTATTGGTTCATTCAGTGAATAGTCAGGGTGATCTTCAAGAAATTGCTTTATGTGTTCTTTAAGTGTTGTAGAAAATGAAATTTGTGCTCCTGGAAAGTTGCCTGGGACACTTTCGACATGACAGAGTTTGTTAAGGTCAGATCGCTTCTGTTTAATTAAATATGATCTTGGAAGATCATCGCAGAATACTGTTAGCTCATGATATAGTTCATCACTTGCACAAAACTTGTCAAGCAAAAATAAAAGCTCTTCAAGGCTTTCATCGTCATCTGGAGTAATTTTCTCATTATAATCAAATGTAAATACGTTTCCTGTTTCAGACTCCTTCATTTTAAGACAGGACACTTCCAACCCATGGGTTTGAAGAAACCACAATGCAATGTCTGCCCTATCCTTTAATTCCTTTATTCTTCTTAGTTTTTGTCGTTTACCCAGCTGGTTAATTTTTTTACCAAAATTAGGCAAAACAAAATTTGATTTTTCCAACTGTGCTATTTTCTCAATGTAATTTAAGACTTGTTCATTTGCACTTTCTATTTCTTCATCTTTCCTGGCTAATGCCTCTGCCATTTCTTTCAGTAAAGTTTCTTTCTCTTTCTGCAAGTCTTCACATTTTTCCCGCCACTCCTTCAGTTCTATATTAGCTTGATTCAAGTCATCTTGTACCTCTCCAACTGATTCCAATTCACTCACTAAAATGCTCAATGTAAATATACTGTCATTGAGCTGTTTGATTTTCCCACCTCCAGCATTTTTATACTTTGCCACAACAGCACCGGCTTCTCGTCGAAATCTCCCATTAATTCTAAACCCAGTTGCTCTGCTTATCTGGAACCATCTGCATGGGATGGAACTATTCAACATGTCAATATAATCAGACGAATTACCTTCGCTATCTTTTCTGTTGACCATACTATGCCATAATTGCAATAAAATATATGAAATTTCCACAGCAAACGCAATTTCAAATCTGTTTGCATTCTGCTTCCTGATATATGAAAGAGGAGGTTCGACAATATGCAAATTTCTTTTAAAATTGTTGTCTTCATGACAAGTCAACCTTGACGACATTTTGAAAAACCGCGGGTAAATAAGGAAAAGAGCCCACTGTGGCACTGTTAAGCGGTTAAAAATACACATGTAAACATGGCTGCCAGAAGAGATATATCGAAGGGTCGTTTTAGTTTTGCTTAAAAGATGTTTACAAAACGTTTGTGCATGTCGCTAAATTATGTTGTTGTCTGGACCATGAATTATTGGTATTTTCAACAAAGTTTTGCGGATCGTGTGTCAGTTTATAAAGGATTATATTTGGTGATATTTGTAGAATTTATATGGATGATTTTTACCAGAGGTCGGCAGATGATATTCGTCGATTAGGGAATCGGCTGTTGGGCAGAGAAGGTAGGCGATTTTAGCATTTTAACGCAAATATGTCTGTTTTTAATAGGGGAAATCTATTA